AAAAAAAACAAAGAATCTTGGCCCAGTGGCACATGCTCATAATCCTAGCACTCTAGGTCTAGGAGGCTGAGGCAGGAGGATTACAAATTGAAGCCCCGCCTGGGCAACTTGGCAAGATCCTGTCTCCAAAAAAATTGTTAAATGGGCTAGAGATGTAATTCAGTGTAAAGTTCATAGGTTCGGTCCCCAGTATTAAAAAGAAAGACAATTTCTTAACAGGCAAAGAAATAGATATCATTTTATCACTGCCTAGTTGGAATTTGTACTATAGACTATATAACCTTCATTTTTAAAGCTGTAATGTGTACTGGTTGACTTACTTGGATAGATCTGTGTTTGTGCTGGCCCCTCCTTTTGTTTTTGTTTTCATGGATGGCATTTGCTGGTTTATAACAGCAAGTGAAAGACACTCCAATCCCAAGGAAAAATATTGTTTTTAATTCCTTGTTCCTTTTATAGACCACTTTAATGATGTGTTTTTGTTTTTGTTTTGCGGAGCCAGGGATTGAATTCAGGTCCTTGCGATTGCCAGGCAAGCACTTATTCTACTGAGCTATCTCCCCAGCCCCTAATGATGGTTTTAAAACTACACCCCAGGCCAGTTTATCCTGTCTGGGAGCACTGGGGGGAGGGTAAGTGTATAAGTGATCTTTTTAAAATTCAGTACAATCCATGAATAAGGTAGATGCTCGTTCTCTTTAGAATATAGAGAGCCCTAGGGTGCTCTGAATCTGTACATGTTATTGTCATACTTACTACAAAGCACTGTGAACATTTTTTTATCTTAAAATTTTGTCTCAGAGAGAGTGCTTTTTCTTCTCATTGTCTTGTCATGTACAAACTAGTTTTTATAGCCGTCAATAGTAGACGTAATCTTCAACCTTGCCGGGATCACTGGTATGATATATATTTAATTAAAGCACACTTTCCCCCACCTATGGAATACTTAAAATGGTAATTAAAACCATTCTTTTGAAGTCGGTGAGATAGCTCAGTGGAATAAGTGCTTGCCTGGCAAGTGCACAGTCCTGAGTTTGATCCCTAGTACCACCAAAAAAAAAAAAAAAAAAAGCCATTTTTAAAAATGTGACTTTTCCTAAAGCCAAAGTTTCTGTTGGAATATGTATTGACACCCCCTTAAGTGTGGGGTGGCACGGCTGCATGCACACACCACCTCCTTGGGGATTCAAAAGCATGCTTTTTATTTGAATAGCAAGTCGTGATACAGTTCTATTAAGCCATCATGAGTGAAGTCAATAACATTTTGTACAACTTCCATATATGATTCATTAAATAATCTTTTTACAGTTGGACCATCCATTCAGAAAGCTCCAAATTATAAAAACAATACTGTTCTATATGAGTGACCAAGTATACTTTCTTTACCTACATTCTCTATTCTGTGGTGAAGCTGAGGCTTGTAAGTCAAAACAAAGGAATTTAACTTGCTGTCCACCAGTTTATACAGAACTTATAGTATCTAGGACTTTTTTAAACTAAGATCTCTTAAATAAATAAGATCTGTTTCAGCAGATGACCGTGTACAATACCATGTGGTGAAAATTCAGACTTATTAAATGACAAACTTGTGTATATATATATATATATATATATATATGAAAGAAAATTTAGCTCTAAAAGAATTGCTGAAGGGATTGTTCAGATAGAAGGGAAGTAAGCATGGAAGGAAATTTAGGATATTAAGAATGAAGAAACAAGCCAGGATTGTCTGTAATCCCAGCACTCAGGAAGCTGAGGCAGGAGGAACACTGGAGGTTCAAGGCCAGCCTGTACTATGTAGTGAGGCTCTGTCTCAAAATAAAAAAGCAAAACCAGCAACAGCCTGGGGACACAGTTTAGTAGTGGAGTGTTTACTCTGCATGAGCAAGCCCTGGGCTCAGTTCCAGAACCAAAAAGGGAAACGACATGCCATCTATCTGGCTGAATATAATAGACATTTTCTTTTGAGATTTTTAACACATATATGACTATCAAAAGCAAAGATATAAGATCATCTGATATAATGTTCAGTCAGGCATGTGCAAAATTAACAAGACGACAACCTAAAAAGGAAAGAATAAATGATTTTTTTGTGGTACCAGAGATCAAACTCAGGACTTTGCGCTTGCCAGGCAGGCACGTATGCCACTGAGCTATCTCCCTAGCTAAATAGTTTTTATGTAATAAGGTTTCCACTACTTGAGATGGTAGGATATTGATTCTAACAAGAATAAACAATTTAGTGTGGATGTCCTGGAGCAACCATTGAAAACTATACAGAAATACAACAGATAAATGAAATACTAAAAAATGTTTCAATAGTCTAAACAAAGAAAAGGAAGGGAAAACAAACAAAGATAATAAGAGCAACAAAAATAAATAATAAAATAGTAGATGTAAATTCAGTCATCACAGCACTAAATTTAAATGATGCATGTTTTTGTTAAAATGAAGTCTTTTTAAATTAGTCCATTGTATGCTGCATTAAAAAAAAATTATTTGAGGGCTGAGGAGATAGCTCAGAGGCATAAGGGCTTACCTGGAAAGCACAAGGTCCCAAGTTTGATCCCCAGGGAATCCATGCCCCTCGAATCAGGCCTGGTGGTGCACACCTATAATCCCAGAACTCAGCAGATTGAGACAGGAGGATTGCTTTGAGTTTGCGATCAACCTGGAGCTACAAAAGTGAGCACAAGTCCAGGCCAAACTGCATAGCAAGACCTTTTCCACCTTCCCAAAAAAAAGAACCTCACTTGTGGGTAGGAACGTTAGACCACCCAAATGCTAATCAAAAGAAGGCGGTTCATGAATTTAAGAAGGGCTCTTTTTACAAATGGATTGATGTTCTCTCTGATGATGGATCTCAACCAGAAAATTCACAGAGCTGAGCACACGTGCTCATGCACACACAGGCGTGCACACCACACACACACACACACCCTGTGTACCAGCCAAGCTGGGGACATCCAAGGACGATCTCTGGATTGTGTCCATGTCAGTAATCTGACTGGGACATTGTATTTCTCAAGATGCTTCCAGTGGGGGAAAGGAGGACATGGACTCTTTTCAGTATTACTTGGTACATACCTGCTTGTAGACCTAAAGTTACTTCAAAATAAAAAATTTAATTACATGGAGAAAAAAAAGTAAGAGAAAAATGGTGGGAGGGGGAAAAAGGAGAAAAGTAGAAGAAGAAAAACTTAGGACTCCTGTCAGAGACACGTGGTGCTGTGGATGCACATTGACCTACTTTGCCCAGAGCGTGGCCCAGCTGCTTTTTTCAGCGTTTTCCAGCCAGCCCTTGTGACTCCACACCTAATGCCCCTTCTAGTATGTGTACCTTGCAGCTTTCGTGTGAATGAATGCTGGCCAGAGGAAACAGGCAGCTCATGTAAAGGGAACTTGTGTTATCTTACAATAATGAGTACTGTAGTTAGTACTGCACGGCAAGATGTTTTCCTATTCAGACTTCGTCATAAAGTTGTAGATCAGACACGTAAGCGAGGTGCAGTCCTCCTGCACCCAGACACATTAAGACAGAGCTTAGCCAAGCACGGTGGGGCACACCTGCAGTTCCAGCACTGGGGAGGCTGAGGCAGGAGGATTGCTTCAAGTTCATAGCCAGCCTGAGCTACATAGTGAGCTTAAGACTTACTTTGAACTACACAGCAAAACCTTGTTTAAAACAAAACAAAAAGAACCACTTAAAAGATGAAATGTAATTAAACATAGAAATTTTAGTATTTTCTTACCTTCTCCCAGTAGATCATCATGTGTGTCCCGTTTGACCTTCTGTAGTATAAAATTGTTTTGTGAGTGCTGGCTCAGGCAGATGCAGGGACTGAGGTTCAATCCCCAGCATGCCATGCCAGCCCTGCCCCCAGGATGCACTGAGACAGTGATTGACACTGGGCATGGTGGCGCGCGCCTGCAAATCCCAGCACTTGGAAGGCTGAAAACAGGAGGATCACTACAAATCCTATCTGTGTATTGAGACCCTGTAGACCCTGTCCTAAGCATTTTTTTAAAAGATTAGATAAAATAATTGTGCATAAAGTTCATATATATTTAAGATATATTTTAAATATTTAAAATATACATTTGCTTTTATTTTTCAGCATTAAAATCCATGACTTGTCAGAATTAAGGGACCTATATGCTATCGTCAATCTGGATGATGAAAATAAAGGTATTGATTTTTCTGAAGCGGACTGACATTTTGTTATTGCACATACCAAGATATGTGTGGTTGTATGAATTGTGTTCATTGTAATAGAAATAAAATTAATACTATTCACCAGAGTGCCCTAAAGTATATAGTCTCCTTGTTATAGTAATTAGGTTGACATGCTAATTGACAAAAATGTTCTCACACTTTTGATACAATGCAAATGCTTGATCCAGAGATTTACGGTGGAGTTTACCCTGGTCCTGCATGTGAATCAGACACTCTCCCTTTGCGCCACAGTGGGTGAATCAGTGCTCCCCCTCTTGTGCCACCCCAGGCTGAGCCTCCTCATCTAAAGACCGATTAAATGGGTGGAGAAAACACAAATCCAAGAAAGGGAAGGAGCAGGCGGGTTGGGAGGGCAAGAGGAACTAGGAAACGTTGAGATGGGTTCTGTGCACGCCCCAGCTCTCCAGGAGGGAGGTCAGCGTTCTGTGCTGCGCACACGTACATGTGTGCAAATAAAATTTTTTGAAAAGTGAAGATTTTAAAGCTACTGGTAGCCTACACGAAAATAGTCGCTTGCTTGCTGGCAACCATGGATTGTTTTGAGTGATTATTTGTTTTCAACAATTATTTCAGGCTTGGGCACATTATCCTGGACGGATGACGGCCAGTTGCTGGCATTGTCAACCCAAAGGGGCTCCCTGCACGTGTTCCTGACCAAGCTCCCCATCCTCGGGGACTCCTGCTTCACCCGGATCGCATACCTCACCTCCCTCCTGGAAGTCACCATCGCCAACCATGTGGAAGGAGTATGAGACCAGTGTCTTTTTAATTTTATTCATAAATGGAAGGTCTCCACAGTGATTTATGACCATGACACTTCTTCATCCTAGGAGCTGCCGATCACAATTTCTGTTGATGTGGAACCCACCTTTGTGGCAGTGGGTCTTTACCATCTGGCTGTAGGAATGAACAACCGAGCCTGGTTCTATGTCCTGGGAGAGAACGGCAAGTCTAAGCTGGTCCTGTATATTCTTTTATATAATATATAGGCATATATGGTCTTGCTACACAGTTCAGACACAGTGATCTTCCTGACTCAGCCTCCCCAGTGCTGGGACTACGGGCGTGTGGCACCACACCCAGTTTCAGGGCCAGCACATCATGTGGTACCAGGGATGGGACTTGGGTCCTTTTGCCTGCCAGGCAAGCAGTTAGACTGCTGAGCTAGCTCCCCAGCCCAAGGTTCCATGAATTCTTAACCAGCATGCAGTTTCTCTATCATTTGGGAAGCAGTGCAGGTTTCTTCTAAGAAAAGCTTTCTCACTCAGTTTTGTCCAGACCTGGTTAACAGTTTTGTGAGTCCTATCAAAACTTTGCAGTTTTTGAAAAGATTTTATTGTTTACCTTTGTAGTAAGACAGCATGGGATCACATGTAGGGTATCGGCCCTAGCATTAGGCTCCAGTTCCGTGTCCCTCTGCCTCTCCAAGCTGATCAACGAGAGAGCACTTAGCTTATCACTGGGAGCATCGGTTTCCTTGCCTAGAAAATGAGGGTATCTTTCGTGGCAATGCTGGGGTGAAGCCCAGGGTCTTGCCCATGGTCGGCGAGTGCTCCTGACAGAGCTCATAGCTGAAGGGTCCTTGTCGGCAGTGCTTAAATAATGTGAGCTGCTTTTCCCCTCCCCCTGCTCCAGGTCACATAAGCCTCAGAAGGAGAACTAACTTGACAATAGCTGTTAAACATAAAGTCCCATTTAGTTCCTGTCACTTTGTGTTTAATTTATTTTGCATGTGATTTTGTTTTCTGTTGTTTCATATAAGCCATTGTGGAACTCCTGGAGGCATTTATTTGGCAACTAAGATTTTGTTTTTTGAGACAGGCTCTTGCTGTGTAATTCAGGCTGGCCCAGGCTGACCTCAGCCTCTCTGCTCTTCCTGACTCAGCCCTCTGAGTCCTGGGATAACAAGCATGTACCCTATGCCTGATTTAAGACTTCTTTTTTCTAGGAATAGCTGAAATAAGATCTTAGGGCCAGCCAAATAGCTCAGTGGATTAAAGCGCCTGCAAGCAGGCGCAGGGGCTGGGAGCTCGATCCCCGGGCCTGCAGTGCTGCCCCACCCCCCAGGGTGCACTGAGATGCTGATTGAGACTGGGCATGGTGGCACGCACCTGTAATCCCAGCACTTGGGAGGCTGTAAACAGGAGAATCACTACGAGTCTGATCTAGTAGTGAGACCCTGAACACCCTGTGGACCCTTCCTTAAAATACAAAAAAATAAAAAAAATTAGAAAATAAAATAAGATCTTAAATTAAGAAAACCCTTGCAAAGGCACACATTTAATATTTATTTGCAAATAATTATATGCAATACTTTTCCCTATTTATTAATATGGTTCTTTTTAATTGCCACAGCTGTGAAAAAGCTAAAAGATGTGGAGTATCTGGGAACAGTGGCCAGTATTTGCCTTCATTCTGAGTATGCAGCCGCACTTTTTGAAGGCAGAGTCCAGCTACACCTGGTAAGAATAATGTTGACATCCTGGACGCCTGAGTGCAGTGATGACAGTGGGCCGCCTGCCATCTCATTACCAAAGACGCTGTCAGGCAGCAGTGGGTACAGACTCACCAGCATGGTATGCGTAGAGTGAACAGAGCCCCTCTGTGTGGGCTGCTCAGCTGGCTCTACAAAAACCTAAGAAATAACAGCAGTGCTGTGCACAGCATCACTTAAGATAAAAATGACCCAGGTGGTAAGTTGCTTCTAGAAGGAAATACAAACAAACCAGAAAAGCCTGGTGAGAAAGCCACATCTCTGGGCTCTCCCAGTTGTAGGGCTTGAACCCAAGGCCCCTGCACTGAGCTATATCCAGCCCCTTTTACTTTGAGACAAGGTCATGCTAAGTCATTAAGCTGCCCAGCCTGGGTTCAAACTTACAATCATCCTGCCTCAGCCTACTGTGCCCAGCTTGCGTGGACCATTATCTTTAGACATATCACATGTGAGAGTCCTCAAAACTGTCTGCTTGGGCCGGCCAGATAGCTCAGTGGATTAAAGCGCCTGCTTAGGCAGATGCAGGGGGCTCGGGTTCCATCCCCAGGCATGCTATGCCAGCCCCACCCCCAGGGCACACTGAGCCAGCAATTGAGACTGGGCATGGTGGCATGCACCTGTAATCCCAGCGCTTGGGAGGCTGAAAACAGGAGGATCACTGAGTCTGATCTGTGTAGTGAGACCCTGTAGACCCTGTACTGAATACAAACCAAAAAAAATCACACAACTATGTCTGCTGACTGGTTCAAGAGAGCCTGGCACCTCGGGGGGGGTGGGGGGTTCTAAATCAGCACCCTGCACCTTGGTGACTGCATCTGGGAAGCCACAGGGCTCAGCAGGGAATCTGCTACGGGGCACAGAGGCCCTGCGGGCTGCAGGCAGCACCCAGGCTTTGCAGGGTAGCTGGCTCCTTAGTAGTCTCCAGAGTTTTGGGTGACCCTGAGAAAAAGACCCTCTTGCTCAGATGTGCACCAGTTTTGTTCAAATTTGTAAGCCCCCACTCTTGCCATCATAGATAGAGAGTGAGATCGTGGATGCCCAAGAAGAACGCGAGACACGCCTCTTCCCAGCCCTGGATGAGAAGTGCCGCATTCTGTGTCACGCCTTAACGTGTGAGTTCCTCATCTACGGCACCGACGTACGTATCACCTTGCACTGCAGACCATGGGGAGATGCAAGTTTTACTTTATCTTGGTGACGTTTCCTTCCATTACCTTGTTTTCTATAACTGTCCCTAATACCAGTAGCCAGGGCTCCGGGTAGCCTCCCTCAGGCCTTTGCCTGCCCCACTGCCAAGCACTGCCCAGCTAGATCTGGACCCCTCTGAAAGCAGTGAATGAGCTGGAGCAGTCGGAGGATTTTTCCTTATTGTCTCCCATCCCTCTGTTTATTATCCCTTTTTGCCTAATTCCAATGTCTTGAAAATGTTTTTTTTGGATTTTAAAATTTTTATTTTTATCCATACACATTTGTGGCATGTAATGATTGCATTCTTTGACAGGAGCTGGTACACTTGCATAACTCATCTTAATTCTTTCTACCGCCCCTTCCCGTCCCCTCCTGCCTCCTTACCTCCAGTTCTGGATCTCCTTTCCATTTGCAAGAGTTGTCTCCTGTATTGCCTGCATACTGAATACAAACAAACAAACAAAAATAAAACACAACTATGTCTCCTGACTGGTTCAAGAGAGACTGGCACCTCTGGGGTCTGTTAAAAAAAAAAAAGTAGAAGGGCTAGCCAGATAGCTCAGCGAACTAAAGCGCCTGCTTAGGCAGACACAGCAGCCGGGGTTTGATCCCTGGCATGCCTGCCAGCCCCACCCCCAGGGTGCGCTGAGATGCTGATTGAGACTGGGCATGGTAGCACATGCCTGTAATCCCAGCATTTGGGAGGCAGAAAACAGGAGAATCACTACGAGTCCTGTCTGTGTAGTGAGACCCTGGAGACCCTGGAGACCCTGTACCAAACACATAAAAAAATTAAAAATAAAAAAGAAATACTGTCTAGGTAAGAAAGTAAATCCAATGTCTTATTTCATCTTGGCTCGAATACAGGTCCAAGATGCCATTAGAGAATTTTAAAATGTAATTTTGGATCTTGAGATTCCTGCAGATTCACAGGAAGTTGTGAGAAGCACTAGAGAGAGCCCATAGCCAACACCTGGCCGCTCCTGGAGCACGGCACTAATATGGTATCGCAGCCCATCACGATGCCACCAGAGTCCTTCCTGCTTCTGTTTTCAGCCACATCTGCTTTCTCCTGCCCCCACCATTCTTAACTCCTCGCTACAATCTCCCCTTCATTTCAGCAATTTTGCCATTTTGGTAGCGTCATGCATATAAAGGAAGCCTATAACATACACACTCCTTTGGGTTGGCCATTGGCCCTCAGCATGTTTCTCTGAAGAGCGAGCTGCAGGATACAGGCACCCCTGTTCAGTCTCCATTTCCCCACAAGGAGGACTCCTAGCTTCTCAGTAGGGTTT